CAAGTAAAACTACTTACTTTTCGTTGGTGGTACATTCAATAAATCGTTATTATATAAACAGGGTTTCCCCGAAATTTGAACAGCTGGAAGATCATTGGAATTAGACAATTTGATAAGTTTAATTCTGTAAAGAATACGGAGGGAGGTACTTACTTTCTATACGTTTTAACAACAATCCATTATTAACATAACATTGACCCTCCATGGCGGCTATAAAAAATTTTGCGACCATGTCCAAATCTGATTCGATGATCAAATCAATATTTTTGTCTGCGGTCCATGTAATTATTAAACCGTAATCCTCGATCTAGAAAATGACGAACTGAGACGATCGTATGAAAATTCGATAGACGATTCATTCGTCATGCGTTGTATTAATTCGTTTTCGTTACCTTGGTAGCTTTAGTGGTTGCGATTTGTTTAAAACTATCGAGGTCCGCCTCAATTAAAATATAAATTTTGTACTCAGATTTCAAAGAATTCCCATTATAGTTATTCGTTTGCAAGGGGAAAAACGTTTTCCCATAACTGTATGTCAACCAACTGGATGTATCGACCTTTTGCTGAAAGATAAGTAATCGAACGATTAAACATTCCTATGAGAATTGTACATGGCAATTGATCTTTTTAATTAATTCCTTACTTGAGGTAATATAGTAAATAATCTTGAATCCCCATTGTACCACAACAATTCTTTCAACTTCGCTTCTTTTTTGTTTAAACAACGCGGCGAGCTCATCAGCTCTTCATTCTCGTACTCGTCGATTGGAGATTTCGTTTCTGTAAAAGAAATTATAATTCAATGACAGCCTGTGCACAAAATACAAAATTTATTGTCGTCTCAAGTACCTTTACACGAATTAGACGTTTTATTATAAAACATTATCGTACTTTCCCCTTCGAACAAATTTCGCAAGTGATTCTTTATAAATAATATTCGTCTCGACTGTATCGAGGTCGCTATCATATAAAAAAACGTGAATATCATTTTGATTATTTAATAAATTTGTCGATTTCGTTTAAGCCTAAATCTCTGAAAGTAATTATATATATTTGTTAATCCAGAAAGACTATTGTTGAAACGAGTTGATTGTGACAGATCGAAGTAAATGAAACCGTAAAACTTTATTTACAGATTATTATATACATGAATCCCTTGACTTAACGAAACTCGATAATGACTAACATCTATTTATCATTAAGAACTTAATTGTTAAAGTATAACTAATGACAAACATAACCTATGAAATTCAGAACTGAAAGGTGAATAAAAAACATATTTCTGAATGAAGGACGTGTCAACGATTAACAATTCTTAATCATTAATCACTGTCGGAGAACAGTGCACTTTACATCAAATGAATATCGTTTTTAAACAAAATACGAACGATTGGTAGGAAAATAAGGATTGTACAGTAGAAACGCACTTACTTATACTTTTCGTTTGTTTATACTAACAAGAACATTAATAAATAATCTTCAACATTATTTTTTTGGTTGTTAATTATCATTATAAGAACATTATGCAAGGGATTAATTTATTGACGCTTTTCGTTCTCTCATTTTATCGACGCAACTGGCACAAGGTGGCATATCGGGGCTCCAGCTTCGGATTTGAATGAACATCGAAAAAATTAACTAAATCAATGCTTCGACCAAAAACAATCTAAGATCAGAAATTGAATTTTCATTGGTCCAAGCAATAATTATATATTGATTGAAAATATTCGTAGAACTTCATTATGCATGAATTTTAATATTCATGCTGATATTTGACCTCTGTTCGCAATGAAGTTGGTTTTGATTCGATACGATTTGAAGATGGTTTACGAATTCAGCGCCTGATGGAAGAAAAACATTCTTCGATGCTGAATAGTTAAGAATTAATTTACTCTATCACCCCCACTCCCTTTTAGTCTAAAATTGACTAATCATTATTACGTAGAACTCTAATCTCTGTGCATGTAAATTACCTTACAATCATTTCATGATTTACATAGATAATATACTAAAATATTTAAAATGTATCATTGTACATTTAACAGGTGCAATTAGATAAATAGACTTTTATATAGATAAAAATGTATTACTGCTAATTAAAATTATCAGGATATGGAATTATCACATTAATTCAATCAATATTTTATCTTATCCGACGTTTCTCATATGAAATACAATGAGACTGATGACTGGGGTAATAATCAATGATAACAGTGAATAGTAATCTTGATACCGATGATCTCCCTTACCGAGACTTATGCCTAAATGTGCCGCCGTCTGTAGTCAATAAGTTACTTCTAAACAGTATCGATCATATTTCATTTCAAATATTGTTAAATCAATCGGGTACGCTCTACATTTTTACAATACACTGTGTACTTTTAATTACAATTTTTTAATATCTTCTTTTAATTGTATCAAAACTGTTTTAATTAAATTATAATCTTTTATAATAACTACAGTTTTATCGGAGATTTTATTTATCCGTAATTGACCTAATTAATTCAAATGAAATTTGTAGAAAATGGGCTGGCTGGAAATAGTTTGCGGCTTGATTTTATTGCTGCTATTCTTTTACTACCGGGCAGTAAAATCTTTCCAGTTCTGGAAAGAGCGTGGAATACCAGGACCGGAGCCGATGTTTCTATTCGGCAACGTTTTACCAGTATTTATGGGACTAATATCACTCGGGGACCATGTGACGAAGTATTATGAACAATACAAGCATTTGCCAGTGTTCGGTATGTTTATAAGGAGTAACAGGGTTCTGGTCGTCAACGATCCTGACATAATCCAGACGATTTTGGTCAAGGACTTCTCCAAATTCGCCAATCGTGGAATCGCTTTAAACGAATCCGTAAATACGAATTTATATATTATGTATTTTTTGTTGAGTATTCGGATACATACTAAAGAGATTAATTGATCTTTGATACCGAAATTGGTCTTTGATTTTCTAGCAGAAATCACATGATTCTAATCAAAGCGTCTAAGCTCGATACTGATTATTATTATCAAGTACTGATAATGGAAATAACAATTGAATGAAAAAACAATACTTAGTTATTAATAGTAACTTTATCAGAAGATCTGTCTGAAACGCAGACAAAGTGAATGTCTAAGATAATATACATAAAAAATGTTAATTAATACGATTATAAAGAATAATTTTATTAATCTGCAGATGGAACCGCTTTCCCAGCATCTCTTCTTGCTGGAACCAAAAAGGTGGCGACCTTTAAGGACCAGATTATCTCCCACTTTCACGTCAGGGAAGCTCAAGGAAATGTTCTCGATGATAATCGAGTGTTCCAATACCTTCGAGAAGTACGTTGACTCGTTGATTGCCAACGGCAACAACATTGACGTACGAGAAGTATGTGCGAGGTAATCATATGCATTTATATGCAAATGAGATAATGCAAACTTGAATGCTTATTCTTAGTCAATTCGACTACGATACATCTTTGATCTTCATTCATTCATTCATTCATTCATTCATTCATTCATTCATTTGAATGTCATTCATAATATGTATAATTAATACCTCGATATCGCAAATGTGATTTATATTTGATTTAAATGTTTGACAGATTCACGACTGACGTGATTAGCAGCTGCGCATTTGGCCTCGATACGAATGCAATGTCGGGCGAGAATAACAAATTTCGCGAGATAGGAAAGACTTTTTTCAATATGAGCCTGGTACAGAGAATAAAAATCCAGCTTAGGGAGGGTTTACCCACGTTGTACACGCTCCTTGGATACATCCTACCAAGGGACGACATGACCCAGTTTTTCACTAAAGTTGTCAATGATGTGATTGATTATAGAAGAAAGAATAATGTCGTTAGACAGGATTTCATTCATACCCTGATGGACCTGCAGGATCATCCGGAGAAACTGAGTATAAGTATGACTCTCAAGAATTTATTCAAACATTGTTCAATGTTATAATATTTTTCATTCAAATGTATGTNGTTTAGAAACATTAAGGAAACTTCCTCCGATAACAGTTATAATGAGAAAAAGTTGCGAGGACTACTATTTCGAGAGTTTGAAACTGTCGATTCCAAAGGGCACGAGGATCTTCATACCGACTTACGCAATCCATCGTGATCCAGAGGTCTATCCTAATCCGGAAGTATACGATATTAGTCGATTCACGGAGGAGGCAGTCAAGGCCAGGCATCCGATGCATTATTTACCCTTCGGTGACGGACCCAGGAATTGTATCGGTAATAATTATTCATAAAAGACGTTTAATACCTAAAATAGTTGGCTGAGTAGATATCCGGATACCTGGCCGGATTATCCGAATATACATACATTCGTGGTCCGGGAAAATTATCCTTACGAAACCCGGATATTCCAGATAGCTTCTTATTATATTGAAAAAGAGAAGTACACTTTATTCACCACTAATGATTTCATGCTAAGGATACGGATAATCCGGATAAGACTGTCATCCGGATTATTTAGCCGTACATCCGAAAAAATGGAAACAAGTATTAGTAAAATATCGGCGTAGGTTAAAAATCACTCTATGGGAATCAATTAAACAGTTTATTATTATATTGAAAAATCTACTCCTCTATATATTATATTATTTATTTATACGTTCGAACTGTTTACAGGTGCGCGTTTCGCAATCTTCCAGACGAAAATCGGGTTAATAAAGGTGATTAAGAATTTCAAAGTCGATGTATGCGAGCAAACGCAAATACCGTTTATAAATGATCCGAGAATGTTATTTCTATCTCCGAAGGATGGAAAGTTGATTTTGAAACTCACGAAACTTGAAAAATAAAAGAGTATTTCTTATTCTTGTGTGTTTTTCTTTAAATCCAAGATCTGAGTGAAATACGTCAATTTTTCTGTCCTTGTATAACGGCGTTGTCATCTAAATTTGGTAGTCAAACTAACTTATCATTGTTAACATAACTAACTCACCGACGAGGACTTTAAACTCTAATGAAAACTATATGTAAACTTAGTCGATACCTCGTCTAGTGCTCCTGTTCCTACCATGTTTTGACCGTAGGACCTCGATTACTCATTCCAAATAGCTATAAAAATAATGAAAATTGTACAAACAGAACGTGCTTGCATTGCTTTGAAAGTCTTTGAGTCTCAACTTAAGATCCATTTGATTCCGGACTATTCAACACAATTCTAGAAAATCGTCATTAAGCAAACTGAACAGAATCTTTATTTCCTCTATACAGGAATATATGACGATTATGGATATATGAATAGATTAAAAAAACTTAAAGGCTAATTAGTCAAAGTCAAAGTATGAAAAGACAGCATATCATGGATAAAATTCTAAGAACAGAATAAAGTCAGTGTCATAGTGATCAATCGATTTGATGGATGAGTCACAGCTTTTCGTGAGCAACGGACGACGCTTCAAACCCGTTACTTTGCAACTGAATGCGATTCGCGGAAGTGGCAGAAAACCTGTTCGTAATGATTACGCTCGCGCTCTTTTCAGCAGTTTCTAAATCGTTGTACACATATATAGTCAACTTGCAAAAACAACGTGTAATTCTGTGTGTTTATTAATTATTTAGATGGACCAGGCTTATTAAGGTGAACTCAACTTGTGTTAAAATAAACCAAACTTCTCAGAGGGCTAAAGCGATTAAATTTTTTTATTTTATATAACAGTTAATTATCTCAAATATGTGGTTAGAAATGATAATAAAAGTTAAAAATAAAGTTAGGTATAATACTACATTTAACGGGAGACAATTCATAAACAATTATCCAGATTGCATTGTTGCTCAGTCACTGTGACTGTGGAATCTATCTTCAAAAGACTTATCAGCTGGTGGGAGATACTTTCTATGTCTCCTCGCATCACTCGCTGCTCGCTGCTCGCAGCGAATTATTTAAGTCGTATTTTTTGTGCCGAAGCAATCGACGCCATGCCTCGCGTCAGACTTGTTAACGCTTGTATTAATTTTGTATTCTAATAAACTGTGTGTTCGTTTCTGTAATCGTTTGTCGTTGATCCGTGACCTTCAACAGTCTGTATATAAGAATATCTGATGGCAGCTTTCGAGTCCAATGTGTAAATGATTATCGCGTGCACGAAGAAGAGACAAGGTATGGTATAATAGTGTAGCATAATATGATAAAGTGAAGTGAGTATACTAGTAAAAAATAAATAATGGCATCACTAATTTCGTAGTGAAAGTTACCCACGTTTGTAGATAATTATTCAACAACAAATTATCGTAGAATTTTTTTTTGTAAATTGGAGCTTGAGACCTGCATTTTAAAATTCTATCCAGCCATTCTTAATTTATTATATTCCAACGACAGATGACGCTAAGGGCATCCTTAAAAATGTTCAAATCAGTGAACTTTGACAACGTGGACTTGGACAATTTACTCTCAGTGACGTTGTTTGCACTAAACGAAAGCTCGGTTCTCCACTTTTAATTTAAGAACAAAGCAGAATTTGCGATGTTTCCACTCGATGTTATATTATAAGCCCGACTTTTTATTCCATATTCGATATAAATTACGTATTCTCAGTATGCATGAATATAAAAGAAAAGATAATTGTGCGTAATCCGTCGTAATAAGTGACGTTATCCGTCGTTAATGCACTCACGTCCGGCGCAAATGATATTTCGGGCATAAATGACTGTTATCGCTTGTGAGTTATCATACGTATATTATTATATACATCCTTGCATTGTTCTTCATGTAGTTTGTTATTCGTCATTTTCTTAAAACGCTTCGTACTGAGCGGAGCGCTTGTTCAAACGCGAGAAAAGCCGGCCGCCTGACTCCGAGCCAGCGCTCCCGAAACGGAGACCGCCTCGACCGAGCGCTCTGATTAGTCCGTGTTTTTTGTTAATAACTCGGTAACCAAGCCCCATTTCGTATTTTGCCAAACGAAATTGTTGTTCACAATGCTCCTCTCCATCTGCCATTTTCGGCTCTAACAATCTTTCCGGAACACCCTGTATGCACCCTGATAGTAATACAAATTCTAAGCAATATAACGATTAAATATTAGTACTTCTATTAGATTCGAATTGGTAATAACAAATTTCTAAAATGCCTCGAATAATCTATTTCAAAAGTTATAACGACTCTAAAGTTGGGAAAAATTGAACAGTCTTTAATAAAACACGGGAACTAATAACGATGCATAATTTCATTTCAGTTTCATATTTGACTGACTGAACTGAAACGGAACACTTAAAAAATGAGCGTGGCTCTGCTTATCGCGTGTGTCGGTGTAGCCTTCGTCTGGTTTTACCTTTACTTGACGGCCTACCACAATTTTTGGAAGAAAAGAGGAATACCGGGGCTGAAACCGGAACTCGCTTTCGGCAATGTTCGAATGATGATGACAGGAAAGGAGTCTTTGCCTGCTTTGATAACGAGACTGTATTACGAATTCGGAAATGAACCTCTGATAGGGTTTTTCGTAAGGCGACGACCTGTATTGCTCATTAAGGATGTCGATCTAATTAAAGAAGTTCTAATTAAGGATTTCTCGAAATTCGCTGACAGAGGAATTTTCGCAACCGATCCGGTAACTACATATGACTGCATTAAGAAAGTTGACGTATCTCAGGAAAATATATCCAGAAGCTGACGTATTCCAAAATTGTTTAACGATTTTATCAAAACTTCGCACCAATATCTTGTATTCAGTGTATCTTTGTATTTTGACAATTTCAAATATGTATATTTCTCTCAAACGTTTTTTAAACATTTGTTATTAACTCACTGTCGACTGTAATAGCATAATGTACATAATAATTAGACAGCAGATTCTTGTATGAAATAAATCTATTGTGATGTCAATTTAGAAGAAATTTAAGTTGAGACTTTGCTCTTTAACACTTTCGCTACGGCAGTTCTCTCCACCGAAGTAGTCCCGCTGAACGGGGCACCGAAAAGTGCACATTGCCAACTATAGTTACATATTTGATATTTAATTTATGCTGACAGTAGTCAACGCTCATAGCGAAAGGGTTAAAAGTAATAACACTTATGCATAATGCATGCATTCTTACGCTGTAGATCATTAATGAACACATAATCTAATGACGAATTAATATAAGAATAAATTTAATTTAGATCAAATTAGTTTGTGAATTATATTTAATCACAGGCTAATCCAATATCGGACCACCTGTTCGCCCTCGAGGAAAGACGATGGCGGCCTCTGAGGACGCATCTGTCTCCAGTATTCACATCCGGGAAGCTGAAAGGAACGTTTGCCCTGATCCTGGAGTGCACCAAGCACTTGGAAGAGTCCCTCGACAAACTGGTAGCCAAAGGCGAACCGATAGAAGTCAAAGACCTCGCCTCTAGGTTCACGATCGACGTGATCGGCAGTTGCGGCTTTGGTATCGAGATGAACTCGTTATCAGAAACTAATAACGAGTTCCTTCGAGTTGGAAAAATGATGTTCGCGACGAATTTCTACAGAGTACTGAGGATCAGGATACAACAGATCCTACCAGTGTTCCATAGGCTATTGTCTTACGTCCTGCCTCCAGATAAGGAGATTAACGGTTTGATAATGAAGATCATTAGGGAGACGTTGGAATACAGAGAAAAGAATAACATAGTGAGACCTGATTTTATGAATACTCTTTTGGAGCTGAAGAGGCATCCGGAGAAGGTCGGTGATATCGGTTAGTAATTACATTTCCTAGCTATCCATCTCTTAAATAGGAACCAGGGAAAATAGTTTTAAAAATTTAAAGATAATAAGATAATGATATAAGAAGTGAATATGCTAAGACTTCTGATTCTAATTAATCATGAAAATGGAATAAGCGTGTGAAATTTCTCACAGAATTGACAGAGGGTCTGTTAGCCGCACAAGCGTTTGTGTTTTTCGCCGCGGGCTTCGAGACGTCCTCGACGACGATCGCCAACACGCTGTACGAATTGGCGATCAACCAGGAAATTCAGAACAAATTAAGGGACGAAATAAGGGAGTTCGAAGAGAAAAATCAAGGGGAATGGAAGTACGAGACAATTAAGCAAATGAAGTATCTGCACAAAGTGTTCAGTGGTCCGTGTATTGATATAATGCATCTTACAATAATATGAAAAAGATGTTTGACACGTGTTCGTTTTATCAGCGATTGTTTATTCTTTACAGAAACGTTGAGAAAATACCCATCTCTGCCATTTTTGAGTCGCGTGACAACGGAGGATTACAAATTCAACGGAATTGACCTGTCGCTGCCTAAGGACTCGATGGTCTGGATACCTATCTTCGCGATCCACAAGGACCCGAACATTTATCCTGATCCGGAAAAATACGATCCGGAACGATTTTCCGAGGAAATGTGCGAGCAGAGGAATCAGTTTCATTATTTACCCTTTGGACACGGACCCAGAAATTGCATTGGTACCTAATATCTGACTGTTAGATTTCTCTAATAAAATAACAGTACTATTTCGTCTGTTTAAATATTTTTTATATAAACATTGCTTGTTTCTTTTAAATATCAAAAATACACAAATAATATTGTGAATTCTTGAAGAAATTTAAATTAATCAGTACCCTAGATACGATGATCACATGTTAATGTTTGACGTAATTGTTTCTGTTTCAGGTGCACGTTTTGCTAATTACCAAACGAAAATCGGCTTGATTAAAATTTTGCGCAAACACAAAGTGGACGTTTGCGATCAAACACCATTTCCTTATGAATACGATCGATTCGCATTTGTACTGTCACCAGGAAAAAGTCTATATTTAAAAGTTACCAAAATCGATAAATAATAGAATGCATAGAAAATTAATATGAAATATGATTATAATTAAATATTATTCTAATGTGAAGTACTTAATGTGTGAAGACTAATTGAAGGTATAACATTTATTCTTGGCATATAAATAGATACTTAATTA